GTCAAATGCTTTTTTTAGGTCAATAAATATTCCCATCGTGTATTTTTTCTCATCCATAGCACTTGTTATGTCCTCCATCAGGTCGGTAATGGCCAAAGATGTCGATCGGTTCGACCTAAAACCATATTGGCAATCAGAGAGGATTTTATGTCTATCAATAAATGTGTCTAATCTGTTATTAAAGAGTTTTTCCAAGATTTTTGAAAATTGTGACAACAGAGAAAGCGGTTTATAATACTTGATCAGTTAGTTGATTCACAGCCGCATAATCTGCAACTATTCTGATAATCAAAAAGTTTTTTTCTGTGCAAAGAAGCCAAACATTTTTCATTCTGTCTTCTTCAATGTGAAGATTCAATGTTTGTCTTTGGTATATGTGACAGTAAACTGAATATTTTTGGGTTTTAGACTGTTGGACAGACAGGAACATGACATTTGAATGAAGAAATGAACATGCAGGTTAATTGATAATAAAAATAATTGGCAGTGCTCTAGATTTAACAGAACAGAAGTTTATTTTCCTATATTGTTTGTTTGTTTGCTTTACGATAACCACTAATAGAGGTCATAATTTACATGAGTTACTATTATTGATTGGTGAGGAGTGAGTTCCTTCTTGCCATGAAATGCACTTTACTCTGTTTGCTTTTTGCCTTTGCTGTCGCTTTTTCCTTTTGCTCTGCTGCATCACTAGGGAACTACTGCATGCATTGCATAGCCCATTTAGTAGAGAAGCAAAAAACACCTCTCCTCACTGTCAGGCACTATGTGTGTGACAGGACATGTAAGAACAAGTGATCCATGTTGAGCCAAACAGTCAATAGGAAGACTTGTTCACAGTGCAAGGGAAGCTGAGGTTGTGCACTGGCCAGGCATAACAGGATTGAAAAGACAATGCGGAACAAAAGGAATGGGACAATATATTGAAATTCATTATATTGCGATATAGAAATGTCACAAAATGTATCACTTTGTCTAGCGATATATATATCGTGTTGTGTCCATACACCAGCAACTTCATATTTTTTTAAAGTAAGATAGCCTAACAGGATATAAGTCAATATATGTGGTGATTCTTTATGTAAATCAGTGTTAGAAAAGTTGAAAAAAGAGGAATAAAGTACAAGTATTCCATGTACTAGTCATACTATGTTGTCATTGAATTTTTAATTTAAGCAATTCGTACACACTACTTTGTCCATCAAATCATATCGAAGAAAAAAAACATCACCCCATCCCTAGTGAAGCATTCTTCCCTTTTTTCCCCTCTACATGCTGCTCACCCCATCAACCTTGGCTTTTCATTAGCCCAGTGAATGGGCTGTGGCTCAGGAGGTAGAGTGGGTCGTTTCCTAACCGGAGGATTAGCGGTTCGATTCCCGGCTTGTCCAGTCAACATGTCGAGGTGTCCTTGAGCAAGACACTGAACCCCCAGTTGCTCCCGGTGATGTCACCGGTGTGTGAATGCGTGAGTGCTTGGGAGTGCGAATGGGTGAATGGCCGAATAATGTGAAAGCGCTTTGAGTGTGCTGTAAAAGCATAGAAAGGTGCTATACAAGTATAAGACCATTTACCATTTAAAATCTGGGTCTTGTGACAGAATGTGACCATACAGCCTAAAATGGCAGGGGGGTGTGGGGGTAAAGTGTCTCTGTGTGTATGTGTTTGAGGTAGTAGAGCGAGAGACTAGTTAGCCTTTTACACCTCAGGCATACAGTTTTCTAGTTGCTTGTCACGTGGTTTTTGTTGCCTTGCTGATTCCGGTGTCATGGCTGCATTCCCATGGAGGTTGGTGTGAGGTGACAGCAGGTTCAAGCAGGAAAGCACACAAATGCACTCTTTGTTTCTCAGTCTTGCTATTTGCAGCACACTATAACTCATTAAAGTTGAAAGAAAGCAGTCTTTATTAGCCTTGTAAAACTAGTCATTATTCACAACAGGACTACAAGTCTAAAGATTTCCTCGCACTAGCGGGATTCACTGGTCCTCTTAGCTTGACTTGGCCCAGCACCAGAGCTATCCCCTGGGTCCAAATAATATTTATTCTAGTCAGATCTGGGTTCAGTTATATGCTATTTAGGTCTGTCTGGGTCAACTTCCAGTTTTAGACCAAGTCTAATTATCCACAATTCTATTTGGAATTGAGTCTTACAATCCCTTTCTGATCAAGTCTCTCTTTTTTTTTATTATTATTATTATAAAAGTTCATTTCTGCATGCTATTTGTAGACTATTTTGGACTATTTAGAATAGTCCAAAAATTTGGATTCATGATAAACTCTATTTTGCACTTCACACCACAATGAAAAATGGTTTGACTGTAAAGCGGGTGCTAGAAATGTAAAATATCATTCCTTGAGGACATCTTAAAGACATATGTAAAATGTCAAGAAAACTGTAAACATGAAGTCAATTTTCTTTCTAACCCACACAAGTTTCTTGTCCATAATAAAAAAGACTTGAGTGTTACCACTAGATGCTGTTTCACAATGCATGATTAACGAATGATTATGAATGTATTGGCTCACTCAACTTACATGGCCTTTCTCAATCTTTTTTGTCTCTCTCTATTTGTCAGACTGGTGTCCACCATCCACGCCATCATGGCAACCACATCAGGAGTCATTGTTGTGTCATCATGCCAGAGCAACGTCATTGACAGCAGGTTAGGCTTCGTGTCATCAGTTCCCTTCATGAAACTGGTCACTCTGAATCCCTTGATTTCCCACTCATTAATTGTACTTTCTTAGCTGCACCTATTAAAGCTCTACCAGAAATTTGGGTTTAATTATAACATTAAAATGTGTTAGGTTTATAGGTGACTGTACTGGGTCTGTAAAATCCAGACCATTTTGACAGACTCAAACACTTGACATGTGACAGTGTCATTCATTTACTTGGGGATGTTCAGAAAGGTCCCACTTTATGCAAATGTTTTCTGACACATGAGACCAGCAGCCTTGCCTAATATTGATTTAACTGATAGTTTTAACAGTGAGTAAGTTGGATTCAAAAAATGATGCACAGAGGTGTGTAACTCTGAAAATGAACCACTTTGTTGTGCACAAGAATAGTGGCAATGTGAGAAAGCAACCCAATCTAAGTAAAGCTTCAGGCTCATGAGGGACAAGAAATTGCCTGCCTTTCATATCTGTATGTGTCATTGCCCTGTTGCATTGTGTTGTATCTTCTGTCCTTGCTTCTTTGTGACATTCACAGAACATGATACATTTGTTATAGGAAAGTGTCCACTGGCTGTTTAATCTTAGAGAACAACTTGTGTGAAGTTCATACTCTCACCCACCCACTTACACTACATAGATTTATTACTGTAAAACTACTACATTTTCTAGTGTGAATCTGAATGATACAGTTTTTCATCAGTATCTTGTCATGGTCAGTCCACCCACTTCCCCAGTTCAACTAGATGCTTTCATCTAAGCCCTGCCTGCCTCAAGATCAGCCACCTGGTCACAAGTTAATGTTAGCATAGCATTAGCCAACCCATGCAGTTTAGAAAAGTGTGATGCTAAGCTAATGCTACCCTATTAATCCTATTGAGTCAGCAGCCTAACCTGGCGGGCTGAGTTTGAGGCTGTTAATCTCCGCCATCCCGCCCCTTCACCCACAGGGCTTAATTCCTCCAAAACACTGTTCAGTTCTGCTGTACTGTGGCATGCACACGGCCTGGAGCTTATGAGACACATGCCCCAGACCCATGAAGACTTTAATACTCCATCCCAATCTGTCACTTTATTTAGCTTCCATTGCCTCAGTTGGATTCATTTTTGCAAGGTTTTGGAGTGGAAAAAACGCAATTAGTAAGTAAAAGGTATTGCACTGCTATGTCGCAATGTTGTTCTTTCTTACAAGATGAAAAATACTGTAGGATAATGCAACATATCTTTAATAAGTTAATTTTGACAGATCATGTTTCTTGCCCCCCCTGATGTCAGGTTTTCCCAGTTCTCAGAAGTTACTTTGTTGAATACATTGTCAATGTAGCCAATAGAAACAATGTCAAAAACTACAAACACAGGTAAAGCTGTAAAAAAAAAAAAAAAAACGTAATTAACCCTTCATTTCAGTGTAGCCTCACAAATCATACATACTTTTCATTGTCCTCAGTAGATTAAGTATATTAAACTGCAGAACTGACTCGTGTAGCCTTCACTCCTCCTTGTTGTGCCTTACTGCTCTTAATCTCCATCAACTGACCTTAAGAGTTAAAGAACCAAGTGCGAGGTCAGTAATTCAGCTCTGCCCTCTGGCTTTACTCTGTTCTGGCCATATAATTAACTATCCCATTAATCAGTTTTCACTGGAGTTTTGCAGCCATCTAAGATGTTTATTATACTGTACTTAAATAAGCCTGCCTTCGCATGCTTATGTAAGTGGGGAAGACACAGAGGTTAAATGAGTGTCTCTGTGTTTATTTCTATTAATAAAGGTCATTTGGTTTACCATCTATCACTTAGTCTACTGGCACAAAGTAAATGTAATGTTAATATTTAAAAAAAAACTTAACTCATCATTGACTGTGAAATGATTGGTTTGGTCTGTTCAGAAAGATTGTAATTATACAGTTCATGCATCGCATGTACAATAGGTGCAGGGTTACTGGGAAACAGCATTGATTAAAACACCTGCACAGTGACTCCACACCACTCATTTATTTAGGTGGACATTACAGTATGGGCTTTATTGGATTAAAATGCTAATAAAATAAAATCAAAAAGTAGCTGCTGCCAGAGTACAGCGGCAAAAAAGTTCTTGTAACATGAAAGGAAAAATCTTTTTAACATGACAAAATGTACGGAAACAACCTATTTTTCTGTTAGCATGCAAATGTGTGTACTGTATGTTATATAACCTAAGTATACATGTTCAAATTGTTAATTGTTTTGAGGTGTTTATCACTCTGGGTGGGTTGGATGATTGGACTAATGCCGGCATGGTTCCAGGGATGCCTGGATCGGTTGGTCGATCAGTTCACCAGTTTGTCCCAGAGAGAAATATATTTTATATTATATCTATCTGATGGATTTCTATGAACTTTTAAAGAGATGTTAATGTTCCACAGATAATTAATCTCACTGATTGTATTAATCCTCTGGCTTTTCATCTTGGCCACCATGAGCTTGTTAACATGTTAGCAATGCTGTTGTGAGCAGTGACATTAGCATATAGATCACCACTGTGTCTAAGTACAACTTCACAGAGCTACTGGAATGGCTGTAGACTCTTCTTTTGTTGCTTGTGGAATATATTTTTACATAATTATCTCGTATTATACGGCCATTATGCTTTTGTAATCAGCATTGGTTTTCATTAGGATTATCTTATTAAACATTTTGAGCTGATGAAGACCCAGGTGGCACCCAGACATTGTCCATTTAAATAAATTTGTGTTTCAGAGTCAGGGTGCATGCATTATGCATTTCTCCTGCTTACGTTTATATAAAATAGATACTGATGTAGAGAATCTACATATTTTGTTCTTGCTTCTTCAGGCACTGGCTGGTCACCTCCTTTGTCATCTGGTACGGTGTGCCCTACATGACATATGACCTCTTTGCCATGTACCTCAGTCACTACCACCGTTTCCGTGTCGAAGGGTACGAGGACTACCAGCGGCATTCACTGAGGACCATAAACTCCTTCATCCGCAGAGAGTTCCTGCTGGTGCTGCATCACATTGCTCTGCTCACCACCCTGCTGCCTGTCACACTGGTGAGGAGGGGAGGGTTTGGTCATGAGAAAGAATTAGGGAGAAAGCACTGATCATGTCAGTGGTTGAGACCAGTAATTAAGATGAAAACTTATATAATGCAGGCAGTACTACTGGTGCTGCCTGCATTTTTAACACAATCCTATCTGAACTCAAACAGAATGCGCTATGCTGAATCTGAATTGTCACTGACTCAGTCTTGACACTAAAACTGTTCCCCCCCAACACACACACCACACACACACACACACACACACCTTTCCAGTGTCAAAATTGCAGGGACAATTTTTGAGAGGTCACTTTTTCAAAACAGATAAATAATCTTGCCAACTTCATGGAGCCATTGACCAGGTATGCGCAAATGTTAATTTAAATTTCTCTCTCAGGGTCTCTCACTCCTTTTTTTTTTCACATTACTTATCTGCAACACTGTGAATGACTAATCTCAAACCTCTATGCCTGCAGACTTTTCCCATAACCTTCCACTGTTATTTTGGGGTGTGCTCAGCGTCCTTGGTTATATCCAAGGCCATTACAGGTTTTTTTTGTTTTTTTTTACTACATCCTAGTACTAGAAAACTCTACTCTGTCAGATTCTACACAGTTTTTAGTTTTCTGGAGAAGAATGAACCAATTTATTGATTTACTATGTGATCCATGGTCCAGCTTAGTTAGTTCAAAGGAATAACAAGTGCTCAGGCCTCAGAGGAGTAAATAGTAAGAAAAAGAGCAGTGAACAACTAATTATTGATTACTTTTGTTAACAAATAGCAAAAGAGAATTCTTTTTTCTTTTTTATCTGTGAATTGTACATGTTGTAAAGGAACTTATGCAATAAGAATGGACAGAAGGAGAATATAAAAGGTGCAGGTTGTGTTCTCTGGAGATACTCATAGTGTTAGTGGAATATTAAGAGAACACATGGAAGCCAGGCAAACATGTCACTGTGCAGAAAAACAACGTTTGAGGGAAGAAAATATTTTTTAAACGATTAATATGCAGTCAGTTCTAAAGCAAAGGCTAAGGAGGAAGCAGGCAATAAAAGAGGAGAGGTACTGTGTGCCATCACGGCTTTTTGTGCTTGTAGGACTGGAAAATTGTAAACTTACTGAACTGGTGAACCTGAGTTCACCATTGTGCTGTTTGAACAGTAAAATATGTGTGGAAATCGTTCTCTTTTCCATGTAACATCCCAGGTTAGCAGGCCAGACGCAGTGGAAACTCAGCCCTTGTTTGCAGTAGAAATATGAGATCACATTACCCTACATTATTCAGCTCCAGCTGCAGTCATCCTCTCTCTTCTCTAACCTCACCCTCCCTTTGTTTCTCCTCTTGCTCCTCCGCTCATCAGCCTTCTGCTGGTTGGCTACATGAGCTAGCTAGGAGGACAACTGGAAGTGCATGAGAACACCTGAGGGATTACATATCAAGTAAAACTCGAAATACTTCAAGATACCCTAGGAGGAGCTGGAAGAGAGTTGGGATACATGTTGTTTTGTAACTGGTTTACTGTCAGCACAACCTGCTCATTATACTTTATGTTAGTTCTATATTTGACATGATACATGAAATAGAATTTTATTGTTTATATCAACATACTGTATTAGCTAGTGGTTAACTGTGATTCTCCTGTTGTAAATGCATCTATATTTGCACACAAGCTAATGTATGTACTAGCAATTAGGGCTGAATGAAAAGTAATCTTGATAATTATCACAAAAAAAATGCAATAATAGTAAACAGATTAGTAATTTTCTTATAAATGTGTCAGCATTTGGGTCAGCCCTCCTCTGCACAATCATCTTATGCTATACAGCAGTAATGTTTCATAGGTGACATGCAAGGCCACAGCAAGAAAAATCACACGCACACATTGTTGGAAATTGAAAAATGAGGAGAGTCGGACATCTGCACAGTTTGTAAGCAGTTTGTTTACAGTCAGTGTTACTCACCAAAACACATTTTGTGTATCCTTGAGGTCTAACATGTTGAATGTGTTTCTTTTCCTAATTAATGCTATTAAATAGATAATTAAACAAACATAGAGTAGTACAAAGGTAACACAGATGCCCATGGCGGATAGGATGAGGTAGCCAGGGAGTTTGTTATGCATGGTGTAAAGTTCCCCATATGGTCTCAGTCGTTCTTTCATGGGCAGATAGCACTTCCATGTCTGTAGTCACTCATGCTTTATTCAGCATAAGCACATAGCAAGGCAACCAGGCAGTGCCAGTCTTTGTTGGAGTCTCTTTATCCATCAAGACTTACTTAGCTATTCTAGGATGGCCTTTCTAACCACACGGCACTGTACCACTGGTCAGTATTTGAAGGCTTCATTCATTTGTTATATACCGGACATTTCTCCCTCCCCTGCCCCGGCCTGCCTTTTTTGCTGTCTTAAAGTTGTGTCTGAGTATCTTTGGCATTGTACAAAATACATTTAGATTATCAGCTGAAGGATTTTACTCAACAGCTTGTGGGTGTTGGTCTAGAGGGCTATTAATGCCTTGGGCACCCACATGGTCGCTGTGGTCAAGGGGCATAATTTTCGACATCTTCCCAGGTCTCTGAGGGTCTGCGCAGACTCTGTGCGGACGTCCCCGTGCAGGCCAAAGGTTTGTGTCTGCACGAACAGTCCATATAGCAAAAGCCCGAAAGCTCATGTAGCACATTGCTTGGAAAATGTCGGTGTATGAGGACAGAAGGCAGACCCTTGATTTGAAGTATGAATAGGAATGGGTGCACGTCCCTCGTCCATGTCTGCATATTCATGAGGGTATGCTCAAACTATGTCTAGCCTTTCAAATTTACTCCACCTAAATTTAATTTAGGATTGGAACATGCTCAATATGTCAGCATGATTACCATGCGTGAGTTGACTTTTACTTGCAATAATACATTTTCTGGTATGGAGCTCTATTTTATTTTTAAACAAGAATGCTCTCGAGCAAATTGCTAGGATAGGTGTTAATCAAAATTGCCATCATGTTTAAGTCTACAGCTCTGGAACTCACAATCCTACCAGACCCCAGCAATGGTTTTCCTTAAAGCAGCATTCTTCTGCCCCAATTTTGAGGACAACTCTTATTTTTTCTTTGTAACCATCAAAGTTCCACAGTCCACTGTGAACCTGCTTCTTGTTTGCCATGTTCAGCTAATCCTCTTCAGCTCATAAAATAAGGAGCTCTCACATGGACATGTCAGTTTTCCCAGGTATTTGCATTTTAGTGGGCACCAATAACTGCTAAATAAATCACTAGATTTTGAGTAACACAGCATATTGCTAGTAGAGGAAATGAGAATCCCTGTTCTGCAGTGTTGAAGTCAAATGGTTCTTGAGCCGGTCCACCACCCTTGTTTTTTTTCTGTGCTGCACCATTACCTGCTTTGTACCAAGCCTGCACATAGATCAGAAAATGTTGGCTTTAGATTTGTTTCAGTGACATCTTTAGATTCAGCCTTTTAAAACCTGTTTAAAACAAGATATTATCCATTATCATTCAAAGCCTCTCTCAGCATTTTCCCATTGAGATTGTTCCATAAGTCATCCTTGAATGTCAGCTGTGTTTTTTTCCATGCGCATGTTTGTTTGCTCACCCTGTGTGTGTGCTCTGTTTCTCTGTTTCTTAGTTCTTCAGAAAGGACCAGGGGGATTTCTTCATTGGCTGCTTGTTTCTAACAGAGCTCAGCACACCCTTTGTCTCCCTGGGGAAGATACTTATTCAGGTGAGACTCCATGTACATGTGTGTTCACCAGATACAAACTGGAAAGTCAGAGATCTGTACAGTAGCATTTTATTTAAAATTCTCAAAGCCAAACGTTTTGGGACCCTTTAAAGGAAACATAGGGTAGGATATGGCCACCATTACTTGGTTAAACAGGTCAGCTACCACACAGCTGAGCTAGGCAACCATTTGCTTAACAAGCAGCTGTTTTCTGATCCAGAGTGAAACATTGTAATTGTCACTGTTCAACAACATGATCAATCTGAATAAATAAATCTTACCTCTGTCTTGCTTTTTTAAGTGTGTAAGCTAAGTAGCCATATAGGTTTATGTAACAATGATATATAACAGTCTGATCTTACATTTTTCATTATTATACAGTCATGACCAAAAATATTGGCACCCCTGCATTTCTGTCAGATAACGCACCACTTCACCCAGAAAACTGTTGCAGTCACAAGTTCTTTGCCATGCTCATGTTTATTTCTTTTGTGTGTCATCTGAAAGCAGAAATCTAAGCATAGAGAAGTCTATGTATCCCAGTAAATTCAGGGCTTTGCTGACATCTGGTGTCTGCAGGGAAAAAGTGCAAAGCAAAGCTCCATTGCTTTTTTTTGTCTTAAAATGCCACTCTCATTTGGACTAGATCAGCACTGACAGAAACTCTGCCTGACATTTTTTCTGCTCTCAACAGCAATGTCGATTGCTATTTATTTCTGTTCTATAGACTGGGGGGTCCTCCAGTCTTTCCTATGAAGTATAAGAAGAAAACACAAAATAACATGTTTTTTTATATCGTTTGAATAAATGTTGTAAGTATCAATAATGTTTTACCTGGATGTTTTTATCAAAATCCAGTCTCATCAGCTGAGTGGAATCCACACAGACACCCAGGCAGAGACTAAATGTCCTGTTTCAACAAGGGACCAATAACTGTCCAACTGACATTAGCACTGAAAGATACAGGAAACAAGGGTAGAAGTTACACTGTCGCTGTCTTTTCATGCTACTTTAAAATGTTCTCATTATCCAAATCCTGTCTCCATCCCTCCCTCTCCTCTGTGTTTCCTCCACCAGCTTGGCTTCCAGAACTGCTGGCTGCACAAGGCCAATGGCTGTATGGTACTGTTCACCTTCTTTATGTTCCGCATCGTCCTTTTCCCCTTCATGTACTGGATGTACGGCCGCCACTATGGCATCCCACTCTACAGTGTGCCCTTCCACCTGCCGCCGTCTGTTAACCTGGCCAACTTGTGCATCCTAGCACCACAGGCCTACTGGTTCATCCTGCTTTGTCGGAAGGCCTACCGTCTATACAAGCGTAGCCGTATGCCTGACTCGTCCCCTGCGGCTGCTGTCACTGACAAACCTAAGGGTGATTGATATGCAGTTGGTGGTTGCTCGCCACACACCCAACTACTAACTTAATTACTTCTGCAGAGACACTAGTGTGACTTAACACATTTTAAATCACACCGTTGTACTGTAGTACACCAGGACTTTCTGCTCTTGTCCCACAGACCCCAGGCATTTTTCCATAGTTTAACTTCTCTCTTACAGATCTGCAGCATCAGTGGACATCTCCACTGAGTACTGAAGCTTGATTATTTAGGGTTCTTTGGATTTAGCTCTAGTTGGGGTCTTGTTGAATTGCAACACTGTCTACATTATATAAACACTAAAGAAGGTCACTTTTGCTTCAGAGAGTAAAACGTGGAGGAAAAGAAACTGAAGAGGAGTTTCCATGAACAGACATTCCTATGTATTTACAGCCAAGTTGGAAGATCTGTTACAGTATGTTTGTGAGCGGCTGTTACAACAAGTTGTATTTATTTTTACTGTATTGTGTTAGTGTGTCAGATACAGCAGTTGCATTTCTCTCGACCATTCTCATCACATTGAGATGAATGATGAGGAGTAGTGATGGGTGTAAATTCAGTAGCAGCAGGAAAAATGTGAGGAATGCATCTCTTCATCTACACTCCATTAATATAGTAGGTTCTGACTTTTCATTTAGTTTATAGTTTCTTAGCGACATGCCACCAGTTTTCAAATCTGCAACAACAATCCCATGTTCCTCTCTGTAATATCAAGCATGTATTTATGGTCCTGGTTCTTTTGTTTCCAGTAGTCATCTCATTCAACCAGGAGCTAGTTCTGTATTGTATCCCAGTGCATTAATAGGCATTCATGTTCACTCCTTGTTTTCAGGAATACAGTTTAGCAGTATTTCTCTGGCATTGGAGTTCATGGGAACCATTCTGAATTTTCATTTGCAAAGGTTGGTGAAGACCTAAAAACATCTTGTATTTAAATTTGCACTGCAGCAAAAGGATTGGAAAATTCGCATTTTGATTTTCTGTCATGTTAGTCTTTGCCAGCTTTCTACAGAGCAGAGGGTAAGTTAGGTTTCTTGCTAGTGAGAGAGTCATCTCTTACATCCACACTGAAGCATTGTAGCTGCCATAGAAACACTCACACTGATAGCAGGGGCTGATATGGGGAGCCCTGGGAAGACGCAGCCTTTGAGGGTCAGTTCTGGTCAAATGTCACGACTGCTGGGAACAGACATATCTGCCCATCAGACAACAGCGTATGGGATGAACTCAGGGCAAGGGCAGAGCTGTAAAGTGAGTAGTGGCTCACTTATACAGACGATGGAAAGTTCTGAGCAGTTGGCCACATAAGTTGAGGGCATCATTCAGTAACTGCTTGTATAATAGGTGTTGCATTGAACATGTCACACAGGGTTGTTTATGCTTATGCTGTTATGCAGGATATTTTTGTTCATCACAAAAGTATTAAAACATACATGTAGATATTGGAACCAGACCAGAGAAGACTATTTTTATCATGCAAAGCATTTTTGTTGGATAAAGTCATTTATCTTAAGGGCCTTCACTTCTGATCTTTTCACCCTGGAAACATTTTTATACAAAAGAATAAATAGATGTTAATTCTTCTTTCACAGTTTGCAAAGTCTTGCTTGAACTAAGAGAACAGTTGCCTAGTACATCTGTGAGGTTGGTGTGCAATCATAGCATGTTGAGCTTACTGTGAATTTTGGATTCTAACTAAATATTACAATCAAATCTCTAGTTAAAATTTATAATATAATGTGGCAGGCCTATGGCTTAAGGGCTTTTTCAGGTCTTAATTGAATTTTTTTCCTGAAAGAAGTCAAAAGGTTCAACTTTCAGGCATCAAGACTGCTGACAGGACTATTGTGCTGCTCCCATTGTGGGTGTTGCTGTTCCCTGTGTGGCTTATACGCTGGGATCCACGTCTGGTGAGAACGGCAGCAGAGGGAGAAAGTCTTATTGGTAGGGAGACTGCCTGTTTACTGACCAACAGTGTGAGGATGAGGGTTTAAGGAGAACTGAGCTACTGAATGATGGGCCTGTTTGCCTGGTTTGGCTGGAGCCCAGGAAAGTGCAGGCCTCTTGTCTGTGGTTGGCCAGGATGCTGTTACTGGAAACAGCCCAGGCTTTTTGTTCTGCTTTTAGCTGAGCTCATCCTCAGCGTCCTACATCCTCTTGTCTCCAGTTATGTAGCAGTATAAATTAATCCGTAAGGCGCAGCAGCCACCAAGAAAAACGTTGTATTTTCAAGATAGCATTACTTTATATTCAAGATGCTGTGTTAATCAGTTTTATTCTTGGACTCAAATTTATCAGAGCGGCTTGTCAAAAGTTTCCACTTCCACAAGCTAAGTGGTTGTCACTTTAGTCAGCCATTTTTATTTTTGTAATTAAAAATAAAATCTTCAGCTCATTCGTTGAAATACAGTATGTACCACCTATCGCCTTCTTATCACCTGCTTCCAGCTTCCACCCTCTTTCCTTGCATCTATATTGCCCTGTTCTCTTCATTTGACCTCATCCCAGTTTTCTTGACTGATGTGCTCTGCAGTCATAGAAAGTTGCCAAGCCCTCCCCCCTCTGCTGCCTTCTGTTGTCAGGACTATCTGCTCGGCCACTCAGCAGTTTACAGGCAGGGCCAGATTAGAAGGGCTAGGCTGGCATTTCTTATTAAAACTGTGCTCTCATGTAATCTGTTACCTTCAGACACACACAGTGTATCTGTTTTCAGCCACCATGACCCCACCCTCCACTGAATGCACTGTAGAAACTGGCCCATGGCTTTATTTTCATGATCTGGGATAGGTTTAGACTGATGGCATGCTGAACATACTCATGACTGATATTCAGGATCATTTATATTTAACAGTTTTACTACCTAAAGTGTGGCACAACAGTGTTTCCCACTGAATTTCGTTCTTGTTTTGTCTAACGTGGAAGTGTCTTTGAAACAGGATTCATACCATCATGATGCAGAAACATTTAGGGTGTAGTAGGCTACTGTGACAGTTTGAGCTTTGCAGAAAATCTTATCCTTTTGAGTTTTCTTTGAGTAGCTTGTTAGGTTTTCAAAGAGTCTGTTTAATCCCCATTTACCCTCTGATTTGGGCAGGTCTATTTGACAGTTATTGAAACAGTCAGTTATGAAAATATCTGTCAAATGTGACAGACATGTATGGGAACTGTTAGCTGGCCAAATGGAACAGATGAAATCTGAAGTAGAGTGAGCTTGACCAATATGTTCAGATTTTTCTTAACAGCAATCTCTAGGTTTAGCTTTGAAACCAAGGAATAAATAAAAAAATAGAACATTGCACTATTTTTAGTTACATTTTGCTGTATTTTCTCACCAGAAGTTTATTTTATTTTGATTGCAGCTGAATTTTACTTAACAGATTGTTTTGTTTTTTTCTTTTCCAACAAACCTTTTATCAAACATGTTATGTGACTATGTCCAAAACTTTGAATGGAATTTTTATCATTTCAAACTAATACTCATTTTGACTGATGATATTGATTGGCCAACCTGATTTTCCCTATACTCAGTAAATGAGTTTAACCTGACAAGGTCAGACAAATGTTCCATTTACCTGACTAGTGGCTTGCAGGTTTTATAGCTGAGGGTGGACAAGCCACATT